ATGGAGGGAGAAATCGTCAGGAGGCGCAGAATCAAGAGGGAGGAGATCAAAATATTTGGCCCACGAAGCGGGACCAAACAAGGCTTGATAGGTAGCAGAACTGGAAGGAATCGAGCGAGGGCGGCCGTGAGAACCCCCAGAGAAAGAGGGGTTAAAAGGCGCAGTAGTTACAACTAGAGAAGGAGCCACACCAGGGGACGAGGTAGTCACCACTGGGGGCTTGGGGCTCGACCCAACCACAGAGGAGGGAGGGGAGCCAGGGGAAGGAGTCAGAGAGGCCAAAGGAGGAGCAAGGTCGAGGCCCGATGCAGCGGAGGCTACAGAGCCCGGTCTTCCAATACGGACCGACTCGGGGGCTTGGTCGCCCACCCCACGAGCCTGAGAAGGTAAACCAGACGCAGCCGAAACAGGGTTTATCATCATGACGAAAAGAAGAATTCACTCACGAATGTGCCCCCACACCCACCACGGAGCCACAATTAGAGGCAGGACACCCAACAAGAACCTATCGCCGATCTTGCCGGGGCCTCCTAGGGGTGCGTCGTGAGTATACGCCCCACAAACGCCACCTTATGAAACCGACAGTCCGTCGAGATCGGGTTCAGTGACGAAAGGGGGATTGACAATAAAAGGTTCCCCTCGCTCTCGACGTCGGGTACTGCAGTTCTATGGGTGCAAGAGTATGCCTCCTCAAGCACCCGGGCATCAAAATAGAAGAAGTCCAAGGGAAGAACCAGAACGAGCAAAAGGTCGGCAGGAAACGGCAAGCAGATAGGAGAAGAGGGGGGAGAAAAACGAAACAGAAGGAAAAGGAAAAGATGCCCAGCAGAATTGGAGAGGACGGCAGCAGGAGCACAAGGCTAGAAAAGGACAGAGGACTGTCCCAAGGAGCATCACACTCCGGCAGCCGCCCACTAAGCCCCCACACGGTTCTGCGTTGGAAAGTATTATCCTTGATTACCGTGTATGCTGCACCAGCCCTGCCATTGACAGGATTAGATGACCCGTCAGTGTAGATTTGATGTAGTTCATCTCCGGCTTCTTTATAAATTTCCTCGAGATACTTGATACCACAAGAAATGAGGCACATGTTGGATTTTTTCGTTGCCATTTCATTGATGATGATCTTGCACGAGTCATCCTCCCAGAGAGGTAACCTCTCTACAGGCAGGAGCTCACGGGCTTGCTCAACAGGTGAAGCTCTTCGAGGTAGCAGACTGATCTGTGATGCCATTTTTTGCTTCTGTTTCCCCCTGAAAGTAGCAGAGCTCAGTTTTTTCTTAGCAATATCATTGTAATGGGGATCTCTGGCTATCCTAATTGCAAGCTTAGCATTCAGCTCCCGAATTCTGCTTTTAACACTGGGAAGGGACAACTCTCGTAGATTAGACGTTTTGGCAGTTCTTGGAACTCCAAGAATGATTGTCATGGCTTCATTTTGAATGCTTTCAAGCCTTTTCATATTGCTTTGGGAGTAGGTGCACAAAACTGGTGCGGCACAGTCTATGACGGAGCGCACATCGGCTGTGTACATCATTTTAAGCACGGCATGAGAGGCTCCATGTCCATTCCAGGTTATAGCTTTCAGTGCCCTGAGTCGACTTTTGCATGTTCCTATGAGTTGATTGAGCTGCTCTTTCTTTCCCTTGTTAGAGCCAACAGTGACGCCAAGGTGCCGATAGTGGTCAACCCATTCAAGTGTTACACCATTAATTTCCAGTTCTTCATTTGCTCTCCGCTTGTGTTGGGAGTATGCCTTCATATTGTTTGTGGAGAGAGTGAAACCGAGCTAAATACATTTCCTTCCAAGGAGTTCAATGGACTCTTCAATTTTTTCCAAGGTGGGAGCTTGTATTAGGACATCATCTGCATATCCCACTTGTTGTGTTCCTTCCGGAAAATCAATATTTGCAACGGCGTTCATAAGTAACTGAATAGTGTAGGGCTTAAGACTCTACCTTGGGGGGTCCCGAGTTCCATATTCATTGTTCTGGAGACTGCTCCATTGAAGCAAACCTCGGCTTTCCTCTCTGTGAGGTAGTCTTCAATCCATTTCACGAGTCTCCCCTTAGCACCCATGCATGCAAGCTCGTCCAGGATCGCAATCCCCTGTGCTTTGTCGAAGGCTCCTTTGATGTCAACAAATACAGAGTACCTAACCTTGTCATTAGCCAAGCAATTAACTATACAATTTGCTGTGCTCCGTCCTTTAGCAAATCCATTGACCCCCTCCCCTAACCTGCCTATTTTGTGCAACAGTCGGTTTAGGATGATCCTTTCAAGCATCTTGCAAGTGCATGACACGAGACTGATAAGTCTGTAATTACCAGGGTCATTAGGCTTCGGTATGGGAACAATTATTGCGTGTTTCCATTGTGTGGGCAACACTCCACTTAGGAATCACTTGTTAATCAGGTGGAGTAGTGGATTCCCAGACACTTCACACAGTGCATTGAGTATGTCGTAGGTGACGCCATCTTCACCAGGTGCTGTACTTTTACACTTTTTCATAGCGCCCCTTACTTCTTGGGTTGTGATTGGTTCCCCATATTCGTCATCACTAGACAGTGCTCTTGTTATCCTAATTTTTCTGTCATCATGTCGCGGGAGCTGTTCCCTGCTGATTTCTGCAGGGAGGGAGGAGGAGAATGCTGCATCACTCCACTTGTGAATTAGTTCCTCAGCCTTACCCTAGGTGTCTCTGCGAGCCGCAGGCCGGGCTCTGCCCCCCTTAGCTATCTGAATTTTTGACCACACTTGTCTTGCAAATGTTTCCCATCCAATAGAGCTAGTGAACTCAAGCCATTGTCTTTCCCGCTCTTTAATCTTCTCTTCCCTGGCTACTTGACACAGTTTTAAACAACTCGTGGTTGCTGTCAGTGGGATGTCTCCGGTACTCTCTACTCATGTCTCGTACATTTGCGTTAAGCATCTTTATGTAATCATTCTCATACCATTTTATTTTCTTCCTCTGAGGGTTACTTCGCCCAGGCGTACGGCGCGGAACTCTTAGACAGCTCTCAATTTGGTGATTAAGGTCATCAACAAATGTGTCAATGTCTCCTGGGATTTGGTATTCCGTGAACCAGTCACTCGTCCTGTTTATGAAGTACGGCCTCATATCTGGTCCGAGTGATAACCTTTTTCTTTTATTTGTCTCTTTCCTTCTCTTGCTCATGTCGACGGTGGTAATCAGTGCCCAATGGTCACTACATAAACTGTGCACAATGTGTGTACTGGCATCTGTGTCCTGTGCATTCAGCAGGAAAGCATCTTCCTCCTCTGAGGTGAGTTGGCTGTTCATCACCCAGGACTCTAAGGTTTTCACTTCCCCTGACAAAGAGTGACAGTTTCCGTCCATTGACAATGGGCTGATGACAGTTGGCACCAAAGTGTGGGTGTCTGGCATTCAGGTCACCGACGAGCAGGGTAGGTTCTTTATTAATAAATTCAGGCAGTGTGTCAAGGTCAAGTTTACTCTGTGGCACATATAGGTTGATTATATGTAGGGCATTATTGTTTAAGTAAAGGGTTACTCCCAGTGATTCAAACTCCTCCCCCATGTGCAGGCCATCAATAATCTGTGCGGAAATGTTGTTATTTACAAAAGTGATGAGACCCCGTTTTCGAGCTTAAGCATTTCAGCAGTGCGGGTCCTTCTATAAGCTAGGCAAATTTTTCTGGCAGTGTGTTTTAGTGCATGCAATTTAGAATCATTATAATAAGCATAAGTGCTATTACCAGTGTAATTTGGGTTACGTGGCCTGGACGATGGATCAAGTGATTCTATAAGCTGCTCGATAAGCTGTACCTGTGAGATTGTTAGGAATTAGGGGTGACCTGATGGAGGTGTGTAAGTGGATAAATGAACATAACAAAGGGGGTATTAAATGTAACAATATTATAAATGTAACATCAATAGGGGTATTAAATCTATCAAAATAAAACATTAATGTTAGTGGCCATCAGGTAAAATCAGGTTAATATTGGTAAAGAATTTAAATGAGTTAAACTAAATACGAACCTAATATATATTTTGCGAACGCAAAAATATATTCCCAAGGTATTGTAATTGCAAATAAATATTTAATACAATTATTTTTATTTTTTTTATTTTAGATTTTCGTATTATTGATAATATATAATAGCATTTAGATAATGCTAGAGCTGAACATTCTTTACGTTCGTTGCATTTTGTGGTAGTCGGCCATTTTAAAATCGTGGCGAGAGGAACGGCTGCTGGCTTATCGACAAAATCCTGCTGCATCTTCAATTGTTAAGGTAACCGTTTTCTTTTATTTGTTTTTAGACATGTGTAGTATATATATAAGCTTGTGGTGGTAGGCTGAATGGTGTGTAGATGGCCCTGGGGGCGCGTTGGTGGCCCTGGGGGCGCGTTGGTGGCCCTGGGGGCGCGTTGGTGGCCCTGGGGGCGCGTTGGTGGCCCTGGGGGCGCGTTGGTGGCCCTGGGGGCGCGTTGGTGGCCCTGGGGGGCGCGCGTTGGTGGCCCTGGGGGGCGCGCGTTGGTGGCCCTGGGGGCGCGTTGGTGGCCCTGGCGGCGCGTTGGTGGCCCTGGCGGCGCGTTGGTGGCCCTGGCGGCGCGTTGGTGGCCCTGGCGGCGCGTTGGTGGCCCTGGCGGCGCGTTGGTGGCCCTGGCGGCGCGCGTTGGTGGCCCTGGGGGCGCGCGTTGGTGGCCCTGGGTGCGCGCGTTGGTGGCGCGTTGGTGACCCTGGGGGCGCGTTGGAGGCCCTGGGGGGGCGCGTTGGTGACCCTGGGGGGCGCGCGTTGGTGGCCCTGGGGGGCGCGCGTTGGTGGCCCTGGGGGGCGCGCGTTGGTGGCCCTGGGGGGCGCGCGTTGGTGGCCCTGGGGGGCGCGCGTTGGTGGCCCTGGGGGGCGCGCGTTGGTGGCCCTGGGGGGCGCGCGTTGGTGGCCCTGGGGGGCGCGCGTTGGTGGCCCTGGGGGGCGCGCGTTGGTGGCCCTGGGGGGCGCGCGTTGGTGGCCCTGGGGGCGCGTTGGTGGCCCTGGGGGCGCGTTGGTGGCCCTGGGGGCGCGTTGGTGGCCCTGGGGGCGCGTTGGTGGCCCTGGGGGCGCGTTGGTGGCCCTGGGGGCGCGTTGGGGGCGCGTTGGGGGCGCGTTGGGGGCGCGTTGGTGGCGCGTTGGGGGCGCGTTGGGGGCGCGTTGGTGGCGCGTTGGGGGCGCGTTGGGGGCGCGTTGGTGGCGCGTTGGGGGGCGCGTTGGGGGCGCGTTGGTGGCGCGTTGGGGGCGCGTTGGGGGCGCGTTGGTGGCGCGTTGGGGGCGCGTTGGTGGCGCGTTGGGGGCGCGTTGTGGGCGCGTGGGGGGGCGCGTTGGTGGCGCGTTGGTGGCGCGTTGGGGGCGCGTTGGGGGCGCGTTGGGGGCGCGTTGGGGGCGCGTTGGGGGCGCGTTGGGGGCGCGTTGGGGGCGCGTTGGGGGCGCGTTGGGGGCGCGTTGGGGGCGCGTTGGGGGCGCGTTGGTGGCGCGTTGGGGGCGCGTTGGTGGCGCGTTGGTGGCGCGTTGGGGGCGCGTTGGTGGCGCGTTGGTGGCCCTGGGGGCGCGTTGGTGGCCCTGGGGGCGCGTTGGTGGCCCTGGGGGCGCGTTGGTGGCCCTGGGGGCGCGTTGGTGGCCCTGGGGGCGCGTTGGTGGCCCTGGGGACGCGTTGGTGGCCCTGGGGGCGCGTTGGTGGCCCTGGGGGCGCGTTGGTGGCCCTGGGGGCGCGTTGGTGGCCCTGGGGGCGCGTTGGTGGCCCTGGGGGCGCGTTGGTGGCCCTGGGGGCGCGTTGGTGGCCCTGCCCAGCAAACACAAATCATCTACACAACGTTCGCCTATCTCTTCCCATAGGTGTGGGAATGATTTGCATTGAGAATGGTGCAGGAGAGCCTTTGAGAAACTTTTACTCAAAAAATCCAAAAACAAAGGTTTAATTATAAATTGTTTTTCTACAATTATTTTCTTCCAAATGTAAAACAAATAGTTTTTACATGTTTAAATATAAAATTTATAGTGTTTTTTTGTAAAATTCATTAATAAATTGTGAATGATATATATTGGCTGAGTGAAACCTTTAAAATCCATTTAGTTATAATATGAACAGAAAAAAGTAGTTTTCCAAATTTTCTAAAAATCGCTCTTTTTAACACAATTTGACTCCTTATGCATTCCACTAAACACTAATATCATGTTTAAATATATAATTTATGTATTATTCCCTAAGATAACTTATATAAATTATAAAAGTTGCTGGAAAGTGGTGAGAAAGAATCTGAAAACGTTTTGTTGTCTTATATTGGCGTGTTCTTATTAACTAGAGTGAGTAAGAGTGAGCGAGAGTGGGTAAGAGTGAGTAAGAGTGACTGAAGGTGAGTGAGAGTGCCAGAGAGTGTATAAGTGTGAGTAAGAGTGAGTATAAGTAAGAGTGACTGAGAGTAAGAGTGAGAGTAAGGGTGACAGAATGAGTAAGTGAGAGTAAAGTGATTGAGAGTAAGGGTGAGTATGAGAGTAAGAGTGATTGAGAGTTAGAGTGAGAGTAAGAGTGATTGAGAGTTAGTGAGAGTAAGAGTGATTGAGAGTGATTGAGAGTAAGAGTGATTGAGAGTAAGAGTGATTGAGAGTAAGAGTGATTGAGAGTAAGAGTGATTGAGAGTAAGAGTGATTGGGAGTAAGAGTGATTGGGAGTAGGAGTTAGAGTGAGAGTAGGAGTAAGAATGAGAATAAGAGTGATTGAGAGTAAGAGTGAGTAAGAGTAAGAATGAGAGTAAGAGTGATTGAGAGTAAGAGTGATTGAGAGTAAGAGTGATTGGGAGTAAGAGTGAGAGTAAGAGTAAAAATGAGAATAAGAGTGATTGAGAGTAAGAGTGATTGGGAGTAAGAGTAAGAATGAGAGTAGGAGTGATTGAGAGTAGGAGTGATTGGGAGTAGGAGTGATTCAGAGTAAGAGTAATTGAGAGTAAGAATATGAGAGTAAGAGTGAGAGTGAGTATGAATGGGTAAGGGTGACTGAGAGTGAGTAAGAGTGACAGAGTAAGAGTGACAGAGAGTAAGAGTGACAGAGAGTAAGAGTGACAGAGTAAGAGTGACAGAGAATAAGAGTGACAGAGTAAGAGTGAGTATGAGAGTGAGTAAGGATGACTGAGAGAAAGAGTGAGTAATAGTGCGTAAGAGTGATAGAGAGTTAGAGTGAGAGTAAGAGTGGTTGAGAGTTAATGAGAGTAAGAGTGATTGAGAGTAAGAGTGATTGAGAGTAAAAATGATTGAGAGTAAGAGTGATTGTGAGTAAGAGTGATTGAGAGTAAGAGTGATTGGGAGTAAGAGTGATTGGGAGTAGGAATAAGAATGAGAATAAGAGTGATTGAGAGTAAGAGTGAGTAAGAGTAAGAATGAGAGTAAGAGTGATTGAGAGTAAGAGTGATTGAGAGTAAGAGTGATTGAGAGTAAGAGTGATTGGGAGTAAGAGTGATTGGGAGTAGGAGTAAGAGTGAGAGTAAGAGTATGAGAGTAAGAGTGAGAGTGAGTATGAATGGGTAAGGGTGACTGAGAGTGAGTAAGATTGACAGAGAGTAAGAGTGACAGAGAGTAAGAGTGACAGAGAGTAAGAGTGACAGAGAGTAAGAGTGACAGAGTAAGAGTGACAGAGAGTAGGAGTGACAGAGAGTAGGAGTGACAGAGAGTAGGAGTGACAGAGAGTAAGAGTGACAGAGAGTAAGAGTGACAGAGAGTAAGAGTGACAGAGAGTAAGAGTGACAGAGAGTAAGAGTGACAGAGTAAGAGTGACAGAGTAAGAGTGACAGAGTGTAAGAGTGACTGAGAGTAAGAGTGACAGAGAGTAAGAGTGACAGAGTAAGAGTGACAGAGAGTAAGAGTGACAGAGAGTAAGAGTGACAGAGTAAGAGTGAGAGAGAGTAAGAGTGACAGAGTAAGAGTGACAGAGTAAGAGTGACAGAGAGTAAGAGTGACAGAGAGTAAGAGTGACAGAGAGAAAGAGTGAGTAATAGTGCGTAAGAGTGATAGAGAGTTAGAGTGAGAATAAGAGTGGTTGAGAGTTAATGAGAGTAAGAGTGATTGAGAGTAAGAGTGATTGAGAGTAAGAGTGATTGAGAGTAAAAGTGATTGAGAGTAAGAGTGATTGAGAGTAAGAGTGATTGAGAGTAAGAGTGATTGGGAGTAAGAGTGATTGGGAGTAGGAGTTAGAGTGAGAGTAGGAGTAAGAATGAGAATAAGAGTGATTGAGAGTAAGAGTGAGTAAGAGTAAGAATGAGAGTAAGAGTGATTGAGAGTAAGAGTGATTGAGAGTAAGAGTGATTGGGAGTAAGAGTGAGAGTAAGAGTAAAAATGAGAATAAGAGTGATTGAGAGTAAGAGTGATTGGGAGTAAGAGTAAAAATGAGAGTAGGAGTGATTGAGAGTAGGAGTGATTGGGAGTAGGAGTGATTGGGAGTAAGAGTGATTGAGAGTAAGAGTAATTGAGAGTAAGAATATGAGAGTAAGAGTGAGAGTGAGTATGAATGGGTAAGGGTGACTGAGAGTGAGTAAGAGTGACAGAGTAAGAGTGACAGAGAGTAAGAGTGACAGAGAGTAAGAGTGACAGAGTAAGAGTGACAGAGAATAAGTGTAACAGAGTAAGAGTGAGTATGAGAGTGAGTAAGGATGACTGAGAGAAAGAGTGAGTAATAGTGCGTAAGAGTGATAGAGAGTTAGAGTGAGAGTAAGAGTGGTTGAGAGTTAATGAGAGTAAGAGTGATTGAGAGTAAGAGTGATTGAGAGTAAAAATGATTGAGAGTAAGAGTGATTGTGAGTAAGAGTGATTGAGAGTAAGAGTGATTGGGAGTAAGAGTGATTGGGAGTAGGAATAAGAATGAGAATAAGAGTGATTGAGAGTAAGAGTGAGTAAGAGTAAGAATGAGAGTAAGAGTGATTGAGAGTAAGAGTGATTGAGAGTAAGAGTGATTGAGAGTAAGAGTGATTGAGAGTGAGAGTGATTGGGAGTAAGAGTGATTGGGAGTAAGAGTAAGAGTGAGAGTAAGAGTATGAGAGTAAGAGTGAGAGTGAGTATGAATGGGTAAGGGTGACTGAGAGTGAGTAAGATTGACAGAGAGTAAGAGTGACAGAGAGTAAGAGTGACAGAGTAAGAGTGACAGAGAGTAGGAGTGACAGAGAGTAAGAGTGACAGAGTAAGAGTGACAGAGTAAGAGTGACAGAGTGTAAGAGTGACTGAGAGTAAGAGTGACAGAGAGTAAGAGTGACAGAGAGTAAGAGTGACAGAGTAAGAGTGACAGAGAGTAAGAGTGACAGAGAGTAAGAGTGACAGAGAGTAAGAGTGACAGAGAGTAAGAGTGACAGAGAGTAAGAGTGACAGAGAGTAAGATTGACAGAGAGTAAGAGTGACAGAGTAAGAGTGACAGAGTAAGAGTGACAGAGTGTAAGAGTGACTGAGAGTAAGAGTGACAGAGAGTAAGAGTGACAGAGAGTAAGAGTGACAGAGAGTAAGAGTGACAGAGAGTAAGAATGACAGAGTAAGAGTGACAGAGAGTAAGAGTGACAGAGTAAGAGTGACAGAGAGTAAGAGTGACAGAGTAAGAGTGAGAGAGAGTAAGAGTGACAGAGTAAGAGTGACAGAGTAAGAGTGACAGAGAGTAAGAGTGACAGAGAGTAAGAGTGACAGAGAGAAAGAGTGACAGAGAGTAAGAGTGACAGAGTAAGAGTGAGTATGAGAGTGAGTAAGGATGACTGAGAGAAAGAGTAATAGTGCGTAAGAGTGATAGAGAGTTAGAGTGAGAGTAAGAGTGGTTGAGAGTTAATGAGAGTAAGAGTGATTGAGAGTAAGAGTGATTGAGAGTAAAAGTGATTGAGAGTAAGAGTGATTGAGAGTAAGAGTGATTGGGAGTAAGAGTGATTGAGAGTAAGAGTGATTGGGAGTAAGAGTGATTGGGAGTAGGAGTAAGAATGAGAATAAGAGTGATTGAGAGTAAGAGTGAGTAAGAGTAAGAATGAGAGTAAGAGTGATTGAGAGTAAGAGTGATTGGGAGTAAGAGTGATTGGGAGTAAGAGTAAGAGTGAGAGTAAGAGTGATTGAGAGTAAGAGTGATTGGGAGTAAGAGTGATTGGGAGTAAGAGTGATTGGGAGTAAGAGTAAGAGTGAGAGTAAGAGTAAGAATGAGAATAAGAGTGATTGAGAGTAAGAGTGATTGGGAGTAAGAGTAAGAATGAGAGTAGGAGTGATTGAGAGTAGGAGTGATTGGGAGTAGGAGTGATTGGGAGTAAGAGTGATTGAGAGTAAGAGTAATTGAGAGTAAGAGTATGAGAGTAAGAGTGAGAGTGAGTATGAATGGGTAAGGGTGACAGAGTGAGTAAGAGTGACAGAGAGTAAGAGTGACAGAGAGTAAGAGTGACAGAGAGTAAGAGTGACAGAGAGTAAGAGTGACAGAGAGTAAGAGTGACAGAGAGTAAGAGTGACAGAGAGTAAGAGTGACAGAGAGTAAGAGTGACAGAGAGTAAGAGTGACAGAGAGTAGGAGTGACAGAGAGTAGGAGTGACAGAGAGTAGGAGTGACAGAGAGTAGGAGTGACAGAGAGTAGGAGTGACAGAGAGTAGGAGTGACAGAGAGTAGGAGTGACAGAGAGTAGGAGTGACAGAGTAGGAATGACAGAGAGTAGGAGTGACAGAGAGTAGGAGTGACAGAGAGTAGGAGTGACAGAGAGGAGGAGTGACAGAGAGTAAGAGTGACAGAGAGTAAGAGTGACAGAGAGTAAGAGTGACAGAGAGTAAGAGTGACAGAGAGTAAGAGTGACAGAGAGTAAGAGTGACAGAGAGTAAGAGTGACAGAGAGTAAGAGTGGCAGAGAGTAAGAGTGACAGAGAGTAAGAGTGACAGAGAGTAAGAGTGACAGAGAGTAAGAGTGACAGAGAGTAAGAGTGACAGAGAGTAAGAGTGACAGAGTAAGAGTGACAGAGAGTAAGAGTGACAGAGAGTAAGAGTGACAGAGAGTAAGAGTGACAGAGAGTAAGAGTGACAGAGAGTAAGAGTGACAGGGAGTAAGAGTGACAGAGAGTAAGAGTGACAGAGAGTAGGAGTGACAGAGAGTAAGAGTGACAGAGAGTAAGAGTGACAGAGAGTAAGAGTGACAGAGAGTAAGAGTGACAGAGAGTAAGAGTGACAGAGAGTAAGAGTGACAGAGTAAGAGTGACAGAGTAAGAGTGACAGAGTAAGAGTGACAGAGTAAGAGTGACAGAGAGTAAGAGTGACAGAGAGTAAGAGTGACAGAGAGTAAGAGTGACAGAGAGTAAGAGTGACAGAGAGTAAGAGTGATAGAGTAAGAGTGACAGAGAGTAAGAGTGACAGAGAGTAAGAGTGACAGGGAGTAAGAGTGACAGGGAGTAAGAGTGACAGAGAGTAAGAGTGACAGAGAGTAAGAGTGACAGAGTAGGAGTGACAGAGAGTAGGAGTGACAGAGAGTAGGAGTGACAGAGAGTAAGAGTGACAGAGAGTAAGAGTGACAGAGAGTAAGAGTGACAGAGAGTAAGAGTGACAGAGAGTAAGAGTGACAGAGAGTAAGAGTGACAGAGAGTAAGAGTGACAGAGAGTAAGAGTGACAGAGAGTAAGAGTGACAGAGAGTAAGAGTGACAGAGAGTAAGAGTGACAGAGAGTAAGAGTGACAGAGAGTAAGAGTGACAGAGAGTAAGAGTGACAGAGAGTAAGAGTGACAGAGAGTAAGAGTGACAGAGAGTAAGAGTGACAGAGAGTAAGAGTGACAGAGAGTAAGAGTGACAGAGTGTAAGAGTGACAGAGAGTAAGAGTGACAGAGAGTAAGAGTGACAGAGTAAGAGTGACAGAGTAAGAGTGAGAGAGAGTAAGAGTGACAGAGAGTAAGAGTGACAGAGAGTAAGAGTGACAGAGTAAGAGAGTGAGAGTGATTATGAGAGAGTTAAGAGTGTGAGGTGTGAGAGGGTAGCAGGCCAGGGAGGCAGGATGTGTGGTCACAGGCGAGGCCTAGGCCTTGTGATCTCTAATGTTGGTTTTTATATATATGTTGGATTTTTTGTCCTGTTTCAAATTATAATTATTTAGCAGGAATGTAATAAGATATTGCACAGTATTAATGTGACAATAATATATGCATTATTTCCTTGATAATCAAACTTGTTGTTCAAAGATAATATACAATCTTTGAAGGAAACATTTTGAGAGCGCGAGCTGGCAACACTGGGCTGGTGGGTGAGAGAGACATATGGTTAGTTGTGCTCAGACCTTCATTGGTGAAGGGTGTGTCCCAGCTGGCCGCCACCAGCCGCCACCCGCCGCCACCACCCACCACCAGCCGCCACCCGCCGCCAAACGCCACCCACCGCCACCCGCCACCACCCACTGCCACCGCCAGCCGCCACCAGCCACCACCACCCACCACCAGCCGCCACCCACCGCCAGCCGCCACCCGCCACCACCCACCACCAGCCGCCACCCGCCACCCGCCACCAGCCGCCACCCACCGCCACCCGCCACCCGCCACCGCCACCGCCACCACCCACCACCCGCCGCCACCCACCACCCGCCGCCAGCCGCCACCACCAGCCGCCACCACCCACCACCCGCCGCCACCACCCACCACCACCACCCACCACCACCACCCACCACCACCACCAGCCGCCGCCGCCGCCACCACCACCACCCACCACCGCCGCCACCACCCATCACCGCCGCCGCCACCACCACCCACCACCACCGCCGCCGCGCACCACCCATCACCGCCGCCGCCGCCACCACCCACCACAGCCGCCGCCGACACCACCGCCACCACCCACCACAGCCGCCACCACCACCCACCACCACCACCCACCACCGCCGCCACCACCAGCCGCCACCAGCCGCCATCACCACCACCACCAGCCGCCATCACCGCCACCAGCCGCCATCACCGCCACCAGCTACCGCCACCAGCTGCCACCACCACCAGCCGCCATCACCGCCACCAGCTGCCACCACCACCAGCCGCCATCACCGCCACCAGCTGCCACCACCACCAGCCGCCACCACCTGCCACCAGCCGCCACCACCGCCCGCTATCAGCCGTCACCGCCCGTTGCCACAGTCGCCACCGCAAGCCGCCACCGCCAGCCGCCACCAGCCCCCCCCACCGCCGATCGTCACCACCCACCACAGCCGCCGCCGCCGTCCGCCACCGCCCGCAACCACCCACCACCCGCCGCCACCACCCACCACCACCAGCCGCCGCCGCCACCACCACCCACCACCAGCCGCCGCCACCACCACCCACCACCACCAGCCGCCACCACCACCCACCACCACCAGCCGCCACCACCACCCACCACCACCGCCGCCACCACCACCACCGCCGCCGCCGCCACCACCAGCCGCCGCCGCCACCATCACCACCACCGCCGCCACCACCCACCACTCATCACTGACGCCGCCACCCGCCACCGCCCGCCACCACCGCCAGACACAGCCGCCAGTGTCCGCCACCGCCGTCACTGTCCGCCACCGCCGCCACCGCCGTCACTGTCCGCCACCGCCGCCACTACTGTCTGCCACCGCCACCACCACTGTCCGCCCGCCGCCTCCACTGTCCGCCCGCCGCCACTGTCCACCACCGCCGCCAAAGCCGCCACGGTCAGCCCGCCGCCACTATCCGCCACAGCCGCCCGCCGCCGCCACTGTCCGCCACCGCCGCCACTATCCGCCACCGCCGCCCGCCGCCGCTATCCGCCACCGCCGCCACTCTCCGCCGGACAGCCTCCCCTCTCTCCGTTAGTAAATAATTATAATTGTTAGTAAATAATTATAATTGTTAGTAAATAATAAAAGAAATATAAATTATTAGATTTTTTTTACCCTTAAATTGGTTTTAATATTTAAATTGAAAATAATAATATAATATAAAATATAATAAAAATAATATAATATAAAATATAATTTAATTTCAAGAAATTTAACTTTAAACACAAAGATGTGAAAAGGGTTCAGATTATTGGCTCAAACCTTTCATAAGAGATTCATATTGGTATATGAATGGATTATGAATGACTCATGTTAGGAGTGTAAAGTTGCCACAACATCTCAAATTAGTGTTAGATACATATGTCTTGGTTATAAGTTTTGGAAACCTATTTAAGTCCACACACAATATCGTATCTGATACGATAAAACAAACGTTTCCAATACTTTCAAATACTTTCCAGATATGTTGTGGCAACCTAAAATTGTTTGCTGGGTGGGGGCGCGTTGGTGGCCCTGGGGGCGCGTTGGTGGCCCTGGGGGCGCGTTGGTGGCCCTGGGGGCGCGTTGGTGGCCCTGGGGGCGCGTTGGTGGCCCTGGGGGCGCGTTGGTGGCGCGTTGGTGGCCCTGGGGGCGCGTTGGTGGCCCTGGGGGCGCGTTGGTGGCCCTGGGGGCGCGTTGGTGGCCCTGGGGGCGCGTTGGTGGCCCTGGGGGCGCGCTGGTGGCCCTGGGGGCGCGCTGGTGGCCCTGGGGGCGCGCTGGTGGCCCTGGGGGCGCGCTGATGGCCCTGGGGGCGCGCTGATGGCCCTGGGGGCGAGTTGGTGGCCCTGGGGGTGCGTTGGTGGCCCTGGGGGCGCGTTGGTGGCCCTGGGGGCGCGTTGGTGGTGCGTTGGTGGCCCTGGGGGCGCGTTGGTGGCCCTGGGGGCGCGTAGGTGGCCCTGGGGGCGCGTAGGTGGCCCTGGGGGCGCGTCGGTGGCCCTAGGGGCGCGTCGGTGGCCCTGGGGGCGCGTCGGTGGCCCTGGGGGCGCGTCGGTGGCCCTGGGGGCGCGTCGGTGGCCCTGGGGGCGCGTCGGTGGCCCTGGGGGCGCGTCGGTGGCCCTGGGGGCGCGTCGGTGGCCCTGGGGGCGCCTTGGTGGCCCTGGGGGCGCCTTGGTGGCCCTGGGGGCGCCTTGGTGGCCCTGGGGGCGCCTTGGTGGCCCTGGGGGCGCCTTGGTGGCCCTGGGGGCGCCTTGGTGGCCCTGGGGGCGCGCTGGTGGCCCTGGGGGCGCGCTGGTGGCCCTGGGGGCGCGCTGGTGGCCCTGGGGGCGCGCTGGTGGCCCTGGGGGCGCGTTGGTGGCCCTGGGGGCGCGTTGGTGGCCCTGGGGGCGCGTTGGTGGCCCTGGGGGCGCGTTGGTGGCCCTGGGGGCGCGTTGGTGGCCCTGGGGGCGCGTTGGTGGCCCTGGGGGCGCGTTGGTGGCCCTGGGGGCGCGTTGGTGGCCCTGGGGGCGCGTTGGTGGCCCTGGGGGCGCGTTGGTGGCCCTGGGGGCGCGTTGGTGGCCCTGGGGGCGCGTTGGTGGCCCTGGGGGCGCGTTGGTGGCGCGTTGATGGCCCTGGGGGCGCGTTGATGGCCCTGGGGGCGTGTTGATGGCCCTGGGGGCGTGCTGATGGCCCTGGGGGCGTGCTGATGGCCCTGGGGGCGTGCTGATGGCCCTGGGGGCGTGCTGATGGCCCTGGGGGCGTGCTGATGGCCCTGGGGGCGTACTGATGGCCCTGGGGGCGTGCTGATGGCCCTGGGGGCGTGCTGATGGCCCTGGGGGCGAGTTGATGGCCCTGGGGGCGAGTTGATGGCCCTGGAGGCGTGTTGATGGCCTAGAATTGTGTTGACGGTGTTGATGATGATGATGAGTTATAAATCTAAATAATTTTTATACATTATGAATAACAGAGGTCCCAGGACATTGGATCCAGGACATTATTGTGCATCCTAGTATTGTGCATGTGTAGTATGTATATTTATGTAGTATATTTGGCATATTTTGGCATTTAGTTAGTGCCACTTAGTGGCATGTGTCTGCACCCTTACCAGTTTGTTGATATACTTCTTAAGATATTGTCACCATACAACTGCTGCATACTCCAACTTTGGTCTAACAAAAGTTGTGAACAATTTTAAAATTTGTTGAAATCCTGTTTCCTAGTTCTGCATCTGTTTTGGTATAAATGTTTTTGCTCCTTTATCATATATTTCACAAAATTGACATTTATTCGTCTCATTTACTTCCTTTCCTAACAGCAGGTCTATCCAGTAAACTTCCTTAAATTCCTTTCAGACTTCCAGCCTAATGTTTGTTTTATCCTAGTGTGTATGATGCTAGCATGTGTCTGGTGCCTGTTGTGTTAAATCGAAGATAAATGAATAAGTCTATGTCCAATAACTTAATGATTTTTTTTATGGAGTAATCTATGCTATGTTGATAGTGCTGTTGTGTGTCTGCAGGTGCATTCAGTGTGTTTTTCATGCCTGGTGTGTTAATTGGTGGTGCCTAGGTATATTCACAATAGTCGTTTCTATCACTAACGAAACTATTGCAGATGAAGGTATCTTTGTAATATATTGCTGTGCCACCTTTTTTATTATGCCTGCAATTATGAATGGCTTTATAACCTGCTAAGTTGTAGAGTTGGGTATAGTCTTTACTTAGCCAAGTTTGTTAAAATGATACCTAGTTGATGGGGTTCTGGGAGTTCTTTTACTCCCCAAGCCCGGCCCGAGGCCAGGCTTAACCCTTACACTGCTCAGGGGTCCTGGGGACATTTACACCCGTGCGCAAGAAAAAAAAAAAAAAATTCGTCTTCTAAACATATTAATTTGTGTCCCCTGAGCACGGGAAAAATAATAATAAAATTCTATTATACATACCAATGACAATTGAGCCGAGAAGTTGGCCGATTACGTCACAGAACGTGAGCGCTCAAGGGTGCTGCATCAGGCAGCCTTCACTCACGGCCGCTCACGCGGCCCGAGTTGCCGCGAATTTATTTTCGCGGAATTATTTAGGGGGCATCTGGTTCCAAAAATGCAAAAATGAAAAAGTCATTCGATTTTAATCAAACTTTTTTGACAAGTTCTTTATGAAAAGTATTTCATCTGGTCCAAGTTTCAGCATCGTAGCATAAATAGGAAGGGAGAAAAAAAATATTGCAAGTAGTTGTGAAAATTATACCAAAATGGTCAAAATCGATTATCAAAAGTGTCAACTGTAATCATAGCTATGACTCTTTGCTATCACAATAGCATATATTAAACAAATATTATAAGTAGTTTAATTGGAAACAATTTAAGAAAAAACAAAAAAGTTTTTTTTTCAATTTTTTTTTCATTTTTTTCGGGCGATTTGCATCAAACTTACACACCTGACTGTACGTAAGCCTATCTGTAAGGATGCCAATTTTGGAGAAAATTGGTTGATGTCAACCTCAGCCACAGATTTTAGAACCATAGAACCATTTCTGTTTTTTTTTTCAATTGACACAAATGTTTACATAACCGATTCATTTTACATGAAACTTACACAGTATATGTGGAGGGCATGTCTCTACATTCGCATATTTTCATTTTTCTCTAAGTTCATTTATTGATTTTATAATAGCAATAAACATGCCATATTTGCATAATTTTGGGGGGGAATTTTGAACATTTGTATTAGGAAAACTAAAGATGTTTTGGAAATTCTAAAACGCACAATCGTTTATTATATGCTAATGCGTCAGAAAAGTGTCACAGAATAATTATATCTGAAACGTGTGTTCTGAAGTGTAGACTTGAAAATGTGTAAAAAACGTTGAAAAATAAAAAAAAAAAAAAATCTCCCTTTCTATTTACGCTGCAGTACTGAAACTTGGGACAATTTCAGCACTTTTCATATACAACAAGTCAAATAATATTGGTTGACATTGAACAACTTTTCCAACACCAACTAGATGGCTCCTTCACCACACTGAGAAGCCATGTTCGTCATTAGCAGGAATATCTACATTTGTGGCTGAATAAATTATCATGTGTAACACCATTCCTGATTCACAGTCACAGAGCACAAAGAATTTCAGTCCAAATCGGTGACGTTTTGAGGGAATATACTGCTTGAAGGCAGCACGTCCTTTGAAAAGCACAAGGGATTCATCAATAACCAGCTTCTGAGCTGGTACGTAGTAATCTCGGAACTTTCCAATCAGGTCATTTAGCACGTGCCTCACCCTCCAAAGCCTATCATCCTGTCTCTCGTCTGCATTATTTGCAAAATGAATGCACCGTAGGATCAACAGAAATCTGTCTCGGGACATATTTCCCGAACAATGGTGTTGGAACAGCGTTGTCTTTGCTCCAATAATCTGAAATTACGTGTTTCACACAATGTTTCATCAACATGCAAATTGCAAAATACACACACAGTTCACCAACAGTTGTATCTTTCCAACGCTGTAGTCGTGAAAATTCTGATACTTCCTCACCTTCAAAGAGATCGGCCGCAAGTCTGTTCGTTTCGTGAACAATGTGTTCCATGAGCGGCTCATCGAAATATGCAGTAAAGAAGTCCATTTCACACATTTCGTCACCAGTATCAGGGAAAAGATCTGTAATTCCCACATCTCTGTCGTCAAAGTCGGGAATTTGTGGAACAAAATCTTCCATCACTCCACACACACACACACACACAAACCTGCTGCCTTCCGAGAGCCATTAGCTGCACCACGGCGAGGAATCCGGGGGACCAGGAGCTGAAGCAGGCATTGAAACAGTAGGGGCAAGAAGGATAGATGAGGAAAAAGATTTGGAA